TTTTATTCCTTTAGAAGCTGGAAACATACCTAAGTTATTAGTTACTGGATTAAAAACAAAGGGATGAACATCACATTATTTAATGTGGAGTATTACTCTAATAACAGTATTTTTTAACCATCACTATTCCGTTCCTACAATGGAAAGGTTCTTTTCGACTACCTGGATCGTGGGAAAGTTGCCTAAGTACCCGAGATATATCTGAATGCAGAAGGCAAAATAAATTATAAATAAATATATAAATTCTGTCTGAGGTGGTCTTTGTTTTTTGGGGGTTTTGTTTGTTTGTTTGTTTTGTGTTGGTGGGGTGGGTTTGGGGGGAGGGGTAGTTTGTTTGTTTCAAAAGTCAATAAGCAATAAAACCCTCCCGATATTGATTACATTCCTGCTACAGTCTCTCAGACGAGCACTGAGTCTGAACTGCCTTCAAGTGAGATGTAACATGTGACAGAGCCAGCAACTTTCCGTGGTGACAGGGTTGTGTTTTTTGGTTTGGTTTTTCTTTGGGTTTTTTCAGTTTTTTCCTCCGTGAGGATGGACATGGAGAGGCCAGCACGGAGCGGAGCGGGTCGGGCCGGGCTGCTCCGCTCCGTTCCGTTCCGTTCCGTTCCGCTCCGGGCCGGGCCGGCCGGTCCCGGCCACTCCCGCTCCTCGCCGCGGGGCTGGGTCGGGAGCTGATGGATGGCCCTTAGGGAGGCGGCTGCCGTCAGGTAGGGCTGAATCAGACAGCCAGCCTTACATCTTTCTTCACCTGGAAGATCACCCTTCCATCCCTCCCCAAAACCTGAAGACCATCTCCGCGTGTAGAAATCCGTGAGGGCAGTCCTTTTCGTTGTTGTGTTGGTGGCGTTTGATACTTTTTTCTTTCCCTGCAGCCTGCCTCTCTACTATGGGGCTGAGCAAGTCTGGGGCAAATACGTCAATGGAGCGGGGAGAGAAGCGCAGATGCCCATGGCGCTTTCCATTAACTTTCCCCTTAGCCAGGCCCGTTTCCCTCCAGCCAAGAGCTGGAGCGCAGCAGCAGCAATTCCCATGTCTGTCTGTCTGTCTGTCTGTCCGCTGCCGGCCTGAGCTGCGTGTTACCTCCGTCCCTATCCCTTCCCCCAGCCAAACAAAGGTGGGCGACGCTTTTTTTCTGCTCCTAAAGGCAGTTGGTGAGCAGCTTTCCTGAAACAATAACTCTCTTATTGGGAACAAATGTTGACATTTGCAGGGAGCGAGGAAAAATGCAGCCCAGGAAGTGTAAAGTGGAAAGAGACCCTCTTCCTATTTGACGACAGCGCCAATTCCTCCGGGATCGCACCTGAGATTAAAGCCCGAATTTCAATAAATCAGCTCTAATGAAACCTCTGGCCCCGTAGAGGGAAGGGTTTGCCTTCCCCGCTCCGAAATAAGCGCAGAAACGAGGGGCAGGGGGTGGGGAGAAGAGGGAGTAAATATAGAAAGGGGTGTGAGATTTTAATCCCAGCGGGCTCATTAGCATCGTTATGAAATAAATCATACACAGAGTGATGTATTTTATCGTTCATCCCTCTTTCTTGCTACACTGAAATAATCACATTGTTTTTGCCAACAATCTAGCAAGGCTACACTTTCCTCCTGCTTTCAATTTTGATTACTAAATCTCGAATGATGTTGAATATGCAGTTCTCGCCCATTAGTTTCTTGTTTAAAAAAATAAATTCATATGCCAAATCATTTCAGTGGCGCCCATCTGCATCCATGAACCGTTTGTGAATTTCTCAGAGGATGAGAGAAGTCCATTGGGTTTTACATACATAGTGAATACTTGAAAGCGAGTTTTCCGAGTCTTTCTACTTTTCTTTCCAGAAAGAAATCCAGGTCTAAATACTAGCAAGGGTGGGTAAATTATGGAAATCTTTTATAAGTCTTTGGGCGTACAAACATCAAAGGAATGTCGTCAGCCTTTTTTTAATCTCTGCCACAGCTTTTGGTTTTTACCAATTGAAATGTACACTTTGTGTCCAACAGAGACCTGGGACATATAACATGGGTGGTGGGGGCTCACGGAGTAGGAGCAAGAGGGAGGGAAAGAAAATTCAGGTATTTCCCCTGACATAAAAATCCCTCCATAAAACCCTCCTGGACTGCTACAGTAAAGACGGTCGAGAATGATTATTGTAAATATTTGCAATCTGCATCATATGCTAAACTGGGGGGGAAAAAGTTAATTACTTCTTAGCTGTTTGCCTAATTGCACTACACACTGCATGCAGATACAATTGCGTTCTACCTCAATGAAAAAGAGGATGCTACAGGAGCAAAGAAGCATCATTCCACAAACAGCATAAGAGTATGAGTAGGCCTGCAGCTGCAAAGATCTTCACTGCTTTAGATTTAGCTAGACAGATCCCAGATTATTCCAGGATAACATTATTAATTTCTGCCCTTTCAGCTGAAAAACACACCCATTTTCTCAGTCAGTTAGATGTCTTTATAGGGGTAAATTACAGACAGGGGTGAGGGAGGTGTGCAAGGGAAGATGGATCATGGGAATTGTGTATATGCATTCAAGAAAAACAGCTTCCTTTCCCCCTATTTAATATAACCACAGCATATTTCCCGACTCCAGACTAGCAGGGCTCTTTATCCAGTTAACCTTCCCAAGGCTGATGCCTGAAGTATCTAAGATCACTTTCAAATGCCCTTTCTAACAAGACCTGAGCAAGAGGCCACTAATTTTCACTGAACAAAAAGCCACTGGAGAGAGATCCGTTTGTCAATATCAACTGGTCCAGCAATTTCCCATCTTCAGACACATCAGCCTATCTGAGCTGGCAGATGTTTAGACAAGATTTTATAAATTGTTCAATATCAGACCATAATGAACCCCAACTGACCATTCCAAAGCAGCTAAAAGCATTCAGGATCTCCCCTGCTGGGATCTAATAATGCTCTCACGCTGGAACATTATTAATCATGGAATAAAATAGATGAGCCTCTTGAAAAATAAGTGTATGATTGATTAAAGGGCAATCTAAGAAGCTATTATTCTTGTTTTATAACCGTAAGTTATATTCACTCAATTTATCTTTTGGGGAAAATAAATGATTGTTCGTTTCTTTTCTGAAATTATATTATATGAGGGTTCTCATTATTTTACTAAAAATTAAAATGATGAGTTGGCTAATTTTATGATTCAAATCAAAGCGGATTTCCAGTGTAACTGTAAAGGTATGGTTTACCGATACAAAGAGGGAAAACCATTCAAAAAACCCCAAACAGGTATTGGACTTGTAATTTTTTTTTTTCCCTTGCATATTTTAGCCAGAAGCTGAAAATAAGTAATTAGAAGTAAGCCGTGGTTGATAATATTTTTTACCCTACAATAGTGAATTTAAAGGATGGTAAATAAAGAGCTACTTCACACCCAGTATAAATAGTTTATAAGTTTATAAAGTTTATACATGCATAAATTCCAATCACCCTTTCTACGCATATTCATGTATATATACAAATACGTATTTGTTCATATGAGTGTATTTAAAGCTTAAGTATAACGGAACCAGCCAGAAGGAATTAATTTATGCAAAGTATATATTTGCAAGATGTTTAAATTGCTTACTCATTTTATGATCTCAGCTCTACTATTGAAATTACAAATTTCCTCCTTTTCTAAATAATAAATTAGTAGTTTGAGGGAAATGAACGAAAAACACAAGGTTGTTGCAGACTAGTCTGTTTTTATTTACAATTAGAGATATAAATTAGTAAAGAATTCTTGTTAAACAACCAAAGATTGTATAACCATCAACGTTTCAAATAAAAACCAGGCAAAATTTATTTACAAAAAGTTCAGATTTCATTGCAATACAACTTGCATAAATTACTAGAAGCTTTATATCGTTACAAAAATAAATATCAAATTTGTTTTCACTTTGTAAGGACTCAAGTTCTCCAATCACGTCTTTATTATCTCTACTGTATACATCTTTTACAAATAAATTTTACAATAAATCCTATCACACCTATCGAGTAGATACCGTGGCAATGAAGTGATCAATTCAAGATATCCTGAGAAAAACAGATCTGTTTTCAAAAGTCACACATACATTGGGGAAACTATACTATACCAGCAAACTCACATATGTCCAACAAAATTCTGGTTTAATAATTAGATTCTGAAGATTTAATAGTGCTCTGTGGTCTTCTTTTATACAGTGGCACCAGATGTGATCCGGATTTAGAGATTTGTTATATATATTAGCTCGGGGAGAGATGATGGCTTGCTGACTTTTTTCAAAGCAATTGTGACACCTACCTGTGGACCAAGGAAAAAACCAGATCATCCAAAAATCCTTCCATTAAACTCTAACACCATTAAACGGGGTGGGCGGGAAAAGAAGTAAAGCAAAATTCTTACTCGTTTAATTTCTTCTAACAAAAATAGAAGTTAGTTGAAAAATATAGGCAAGGTGATTTTTTTGTGGTTGTTGTTTATTTAGCTCTAAGTAGTGGAAGTATTCAGAGTGCCTTTGCTAGCTAGGCAAGAGCCAAGTCAAAGACTGCCTTGCATAAGATTCATGTCGGTTTCTTACAGTTGTCCCTTCCTATTTTAAATACGCATTCACTGCGTGAAGCTCCACTCAATTTTAGCACTGCCACGTGAGCACAAGCACTCTGTTTCTAAATAACAATACCTTCAAAGGTTTTTTATTTTTTCCTGAAGATTTCTTTCCGTAACTTTTAAGTAGTCCCTACGGCTTTGCCTTACACAAGCGAAGAGTATGCAAAGTGAGGGAACTGTCTAACTTGGCTTGAAAATTAAGATAAACCGAAGAAAGAGATGTAGTCATATGGGGTTTCCGAAAAGAGCAGAAAAAATAATGTTTTACTTTGTGACCAAACTCTCAAGTAACGAAGCAAGAAATTAACGTTAAGCGAGTCTAGAACTGTGCAGCACGTCTCAGACCTGATGCCAAATGATCAGTGTAATAGAAAATGCTCTCACTTACTTGCATTGCTGTGTGATTGCACTTCTATAGGTATGGTTGTACTCCTACTGTGCAGACTTCAGTGGGATCTGTCAAAATATAACTGTCAGTTAGTCACAGGACACAGCCAGCTAACTAGATTATACAGTCTGTGTAGGTCCCAGCCCTCACTGGTGCACAATTCGCAGCTGGGTCGTTTAAAAGACTAGCCAATATTTTATATTTGCCTGTATCTCGCGTAGTTTTGTAGGATAAGATGACAAGCATATTAGTGCAAAACTTTTTCGGGAAAGAAAAACCCAAAACCCAAACAAACCAAGAAGCAACCAGTTACAAAAAATGTCACGCTCCGCGTAATTTCACGTCCAAGGTCAGCAATTATCTGAACCCAAAGCTGAAAAAAACCCCGTGAGAATACTGGAAACAAAGAGAGTCAAACCAGTTTGTCAGGAAAAAAAAAATTACAGGCAATGACACCAATGCTGTCTGGATAGCTTTGTGTGTAGTTTCCCTTTTTTAAAAAAGAAAACTACTTTCAAAGCTGCATCTGCAGCCTGTGAGGCTGATCTAAAAGTCGTCTTTCACATTTCCCCTCGCGGTTCTTAGGGGCAGGTACCGATACGACGGCGGCACGCCGGTTTCAATCCCCAGGTTATGTGAGCGCCCATCTTCACTCTGGCAGCGGTGGCACCGAGCTCGCTGTTTTTTCCAGAGGAGGTTTCAGTATTTACAGCGCGCAGGGGACGTCTACGGGTCGGGGGAGGAGGACGAGGGAGAAGAGGGAAGAAAGCGGCAGAAACAAGTCACCTACCTTTCTTAGAGTCATAGCTAGAGGGCCTGTAATGTTGTTCTAGCTGGTTAGTGATCGTTTTCAAAGAGTCACTGCTCTGTTTGTGGACAGAGCTGGCATTTAGGACAGTCTGACTTAGTCCCTCGTTTGAAGCCACTGCTGCCGAGTTGTATCTCAGGATTCCCTGGCTCTGCAGAGCGTTAAAGTTCCCATAGTTTGTATAATTGCTATAAAAAGGTGAGGTGTAATAAATATGCCTCCCCAGGAGGGAGGAGGGCGAGTAGGCAGCGCTGTGCGGGGCGGAGGCGGGGGTGGCCGAGGAGAGCGGCGCGGGCTGGCAGCCTTGGCCCAGGGTCTGACTCTTGAGGTCCGAGGTGGCGATTTCGGCCAGAGACCAGAGCTTGGGCTTGCTGGCCGGCGTCGGGGGGCCGGGGGAGGCGCGGGGCCCCAGCGCCGCCTTGCCAGCGCTGCGGGCGGCGTCGGCGTGCGGGTGGCCGAGGAGCGGGGCCTCCACGGCCGCCAGCGGCGAGGAGGTGGCGGGCTTGGCCGGCGGGTCGCGCTCCCCGCCGCCGCCGTCGTCCTCCTCGATGTCCTCCTCGTCGTCCTCGTCGTCGTCCTCTTCCTCCTCCTCGATGTCCTCGTATTTGTCTTTGCACTCCGAGCCCGACTCGCAGAGGGGGTCTCCCGCTCGGCAGGGCAGCTTCTCGCCGTCCGATTCGGCGGAGCAGGAGTGGTCCGTCAGCGAGTCGACTTGCAAGCTGATCCCTGCGGAGGCCCGCCGGGCACAGAGAGGCAGTGAGGAGGGGCGGCAGAGCAGAGCGGGAGAGCAGCGAGCCCCGCCACCGCCGCGCCACCGCTGCGGCCGGGCAGGCTCAAGCCATGCCGGCCTTTCCCGCTCCCAGGAGCATCCATCCCCACGGGCCGGCTCCTCCGCGGCGCCCCCCGCACCTCCCCGCCAGCCGCCCCCCGCCCGCCTCGGCCACAGGCACCGATCGGCGACAAGTGACCGGAGCAGTCGGACGGGACGGGTTTGGGGGTCGCTTTTGTTAAACGCCGCCCCCCGCTCCTGCCCCGCTGCCCCGCTCCCGGGGGACTCGACGGGGCGGGATGGAGACACCCCGCCGCGGCCGCAGGCACCCCACGCCTACCTTCGTCCTCCGCAGAGGTTTCGTTGCTCTCGGGCATCTTGTCGGGACTCTCCTCCTTACTCCTCGCCCCGTCGCCTTCGTCGTCGTCCTCGTCCTCGCTCTTGTTCCGCGGGGCCCAGGTCATCTTGTTCTCCTTCTTGAGCCGCCGGCGGGCGTTGGCGAACCAGGTGGAGACCTGGGTGAGGGTCATCTTGGTGATGATGGCCAGCATGATCTTCTCGCCCTTGGTGGGGTAGGGGTTCTTGCGGTGCTCCTGCAGCCAGGCCTTCAGCGTGGCCGTGGCGTCGCGGGTGGCGTTTTTCCTGTACGCGGGGTCGTTGAGCTGGTAGGGGTAGGCAGGGCTGCCGTACGGGTGGTAGCTGATGGCTCCGGTCATCCCCGTCGTATGGGCGTCGTAAGGGGAGCCCTGGACAGAACAGAACGGTGGGGTTGGCAATTTGTTATTGCTGATAGCCATTAGTGAGTTGTCAAGGCGAGATCGGCGGTTATATTTGTATTTCCCCGGGATGGTGTCTTGTATCCATATTCTATGAGGGGGAGTAGCAGCACCCAAAGGCCATTAAGTTACAATTCCCCCCCCTCCTTCCTCCGCCCAGCACACAGACACAGGCACACGCGCTTAAAATCGGCGATGTTTTAATCTTTCTGGCTAATTTCAGCTCCTTGTAATTGAATATTTCCCAATATAATTTTTGAACCGCGCAGACATTTTAAAGGCCCTACAGGTAGCGTCTTGATATCAACATTTCTCTCAAAGGTTCAAAAGATGTTTCCTTTTTTGCTATAGAAAATACAACAAAGCCGCCACTTAGCAATTCACTGCACTAATGCATTGCAAATCCAATTTGCAAATCAGAAGATATGCACCGTTTCGAATTGTTCAAATGCGATGTAATTAGCATTTTAATTCGCTCTTTAACGTTTAAATTGCGCTTATTTAAGTCTGCATAATGCAAGAAAAGTTAAAGATATCCCTAAGAAACTCGCTAACTTTCAGCACGTCTCTGTACCCCGCAGATCGGAGAGTCATAGGCTCAACATCGCCCAATATCCCCCACAGTTCACAACCTCGCTGCAACTTCCAGCCACTCGCCTACTGCTTCTCGACAGGAAAAACAAGAGAGACCCTCAGATCTTTTATACCACCCCGAATAAATACTGCACGACAATTTATGCACTGTGTTATGAACAGACGGAAAGCAAGTAGTTTCCCTGTCACTTTGCAGGGAGAGAGAACTACCCCGCAGCCATCCTCTCCTAGGATATCGACAGCCGCTCTAACCTCAAATTCCGAGCACAGGTCTTTGTGTGCACGGACTAGATATGTGTCTGACTCTGTGTGCACGCGTGGTTATAAAACTATATAACCATCTAGACGTGCAGTTTATTTATATAGTTTATGGCTTTATTTATGTACTTTATGCACAGAACACACACAACACGCAATTGCAACTGCTCCTTAAACTAATAAGAAGAAAGTGAAATCCGAAACTGCGGCCACTACGACCATTTTGGGCTTAAGCGAAGCTCACAGATCGCAAACAGATGCTCCTTTTCATTCCCAAAATCCAGTTAAACCATTAGCACAAAACACACTGAAAGTAAATAAAACCACACGGGGATAAAGCCCCCAGCGCCTCTAAACACCGAATTAAAAGAGAGAAGAAAAATTAGGGGAAAAAAAAAAAAGGAAGAAAAATAAACCCTCTCTTGTGCTATCACTGCGAAAAGAAAAAATACATATTAAAAGAAAAAACAAAAAAAAGAAGGAAAGCCTGGGACACACAGACACAGGAACGGGGGGCAGAATGAAAGCATACAACCCAACCCAACTGGCCGAGACCATCCGTATTCCCTCAACCCAAGCGCCCTCCCGGCTCCTCAACCCGCGCGGAGAGCCCGGGACCCAGGCCGGCACCGCGCTCGGCCGGGACGCGAAGCGGAGCCCCGGCTCCGGCCCCGCCGCTCCGTTCCGCTCCGTTCCGTTCCGCTCCGCTCCTCTCAGCTCGGCTCCGCTCGGCTCCGCTCGGTGCCGGCCGGGCTGCGGGGCGGCTCGGAGCGAAGCGCGGAGCAGGCAGCGGCGGTGCGGGGCGCCCGCTTGTGCGGCGTGGTGTCGGGGGCTGATGGTGAGTGTGTGTGAGGAGAAAGGCTGAGGATGATGAGGATGAGAATGCGGATGCTAATGAAGAAGGAGAGGGTTTCTCTTCGGTAGTTACCATATAGGAGGGGAATCCCGTGGCGGGGTCTGTGGAGTACTGGAGCGGGCTGGTGAAGCCTGTGGCCGCCGCCTGGGCGGTGAAAGCTGCCGATCCCGGGTAAGGGCTGAACGCCGATCCCGACGAAGACCTGGCCAGCTCCTCGCTCCTGGGGGCCGCCAGCGCCGACGCCCCGTACGCCGGGCAGGAGTACAGAGCCAGCGAGCCGGGGGGCTGGTAGAGGTAACCCTGAGGATAGGACATGGCTTGCACTGGCGTGCACAGGAGCAGGGAGGGGGCGAGGGTGACCGGCCCTGCTGCTGCCGCTGCTCCTGGCGCTGCTTTCGTGCTCTCCCTCTCTCCCGCCCGCCCTCCCGCTCCCTCCCTCCCTCCCTCCCTCTTTCTCCCTCCCTCCTTCTCTCTCTCTCTCCCCCCCGCCCCCCCCCCCCCCCCCACCGATGGCTCTGTGCAGTTATGTAGAGAATCAGAATTGTTATAGGCTCCCCCCCATGCGCACCCGATCGGAATAAAAACAAACAGGAGGAAAAAAAAACCCCAAAACAACCCTCCAAATGGAAAATTAGTAGGAAAGGTCAGAAATCTATCCGGGAGGGGAAGGGCATCTGGGAGAGATGGAAGCACAGAGGGTTAATAAAAAAAGAAAGAGAAAGGGAAAGAAACAGAAGGAGAGAGGAGGACGGGGGGGCGGGGAGGGGGGAGAGAGAGAAGCGAGACCCCGAAATCAGAAAAGTGGCTGCTGCATATGGAGTTCTCCCAGTCAGCCAGCCAGCTCCCCCAGCGCCTGCGAGCCTGTATTTTGGGGGAAGTATAGAGTCTGGAGTGAAGAGTTGAGGGAAGCAGCACTCGAGTTTCTGAGGGACATTGGAAAACAGAGCTGTCCATCACCGCCGCTCATCTGCATAGCCCGGCGGGCCCGCCCCCTCCCGCTCCGGCCCCGGCCCCGGCTCCGTCTCCTCCCGCGGCCGGCAGGCAGGCGGGGAAGGCAGGCAGGGAAGGCAGGCAGGCTTTGTAATGCAAGGCAGCCTCTCCGGCTGCGAGCACGCCGCTGAAGCCAAACGATGATGCTGCTCGTCAGCTCCTCTCCGGACTCGCGGAGCCATGAACACTCTTCCGCACACTCTCCATTACACATCCTCTCTCCCTCTTTCTACATCCACAGGGGCAGCACAGAAGGACGCGCACAAGGGATATCTGCATCCCCTCCCGCGCGCACTCTCCGGAGCGCTGCAGGCGCGCACTCGCGTGCGAGATGTGCGCGCTCGCACGCGTGTGTACGCGCAGGGCCGGGCGCGGCGGAGCCGGGCAGCGCGCAAGGGGAGAGCGAGCGCTTGGTAAAAGTGCTGCCCTATATGGTAGGGAGAGCAGCAACTGCTCAAATCAGCAGTACAGGAGCGCACTGTCCCTGGCACCGTGAACTTTACAGTTTTGCAAGTTGCCACAAACAGTGACGATCTAGTCATGCAGCGCGTTTGCACATGAAGGAAAAAAAAAAAAACCAACCCATCTTTCTTTCAGTTCTGTTCTTCCTTCGCTGAGGCGCGGGCAAGAGGCCTGGGTGACTCCTTCCGGGGGGCTATCTGCATTCTCCCTTCACCCCTCACCCCTTCCTCCTTTTGGCAGATCAGATAAATCTCCTGGAATACAGTATCTATGTAATTAATTTCTTCTGCCCTCTCCCTTCGGCCCTGGACGCTTTCAGCTTCCAGCCAGCGCCAGCGCTGCTCCGGCCCGGGCGCAGGAGGACGAGGCGGAGGCACCGCTCTTGTCTCCTCAGCGCAAGCCTAAACACACACGTCTGTGTGCACGTACATTTCTTTAATGGTTGGTCCAGAAGGTCCCTTCAGAAGCCGGCGGCGGGCTGCCCACACTCAAGCTCTGCCCTTTGCTCCCGGGACGAGTCGCGGTGCCCGCGGTTCCCTGTGCCGGTGTCCCCCTACCCGCGGTGGGGCCGGGGCTCCCCTCCCCGGCACCCCTTCAGTCCGACAGCCCCGGGGCACGGCGCTGGGCCCTGCCCGTCCCACCCAGCCGCTGCAGGGGCCCAGGCTTGCTAGGCCGCTCCGCGCATCCCGGTCCGCACCTGCGCCCCGCAACTCCGCCGTGCGGAGCGGGATCGGGGTCGGTCCGGCACGCAGGGATGGGGCCGAAGCTCTGGAAGCCACCGCGCTTCCCATAAGCCCTTCACGCGCAACCTTCAGCAAGTTACCAGCCCGGAACGGCCTCGTTAATACTGTTTAGGTGTTCGGGAAAAAGAAAAAAAAAAAGTTAATGAAACTGTTTTTTATTTTCAACATTTATGAGTGCGCACTTAAACGAAGTTGCTTGACATTTATGGCCGAGTTCTTCGTGAAGTACCTCGAGTAGTTTCAGTCAGGTAGGATGGAGACGGCGCCGGGTTGGCCACCGGCAGGAGGGGAGATGGCAGTAGCTGAAAAATTGCGGGTGTGCAGAACAGCCTATTGTTAATCAATTAAACATGCAGCTGATAAAAAAAAAAAATTCACTTGGAGAAGCCGTTTCAATAGCTTGGCACACACAGCGGGGAAAATGCCGTGCTGGAACTACGGTCAAACCTCGGGATGTGTAAAGTGTGTGGAGCAATCCAAGCTTTCCGATTTATTTTTCTATCTCAGTTTTTATTTCTCTCTTTTACTCTCCTCATTTTCCGTGAAACCCACATACCAGTTTACCCCTGCCGCTACAAGCAGCAGCAGAGATCTGGCCACCAGACATACCGGATTAATTCCTATCAAGATCTATCAGCTGGCCTGTAGAAGAGGCAATCCTTAAAAAAAGCAGGTGAGAGGGAGGAGGTTAACACCAACAGGTATTTCTTGTCATTAACTCCCGACTTCCTGATAAGAGAGTGATAAACAACTGGTAAACTCAGTGCAACAGATTACAGAAAAGACATTTGCTTCCCTGCTTGGTGATTAATGCGCATATATTAAATAAAAATAGAAACTCTAGAAACAAGGGCTTTATATAAAACATATTCATATTTCAGTATTTCTATGGAATAATCGATATCATGCGACTACATCTGAATAGTCAATTGCTGTGTTCCGCAGACCGATTTCTAAGTATATGAGCTCTGCTTCTGAAAGGAGCAGCAGCTGGAGAGCCGAGAATGCAAAATTAATTATAACATTATAAAGTCATACATGAATCTCTCTAAGCCAACCTGCATGCCTTGCAAAATGTGCTATACTCTCTGCATTTTTATTTGGGAAGCTGTTCTTTTTCCAGGAGAAGTGGTGTTTATCTTTGCGAATTGATTGCTTTTAGTTCTTCCTCTTTAATAATTAGTGGAACAATACAGATTGGGAATACAATGGCCGTTGTGTTTACATTATAACAGGGGATTAATGCTATTAAGTGAGTGTTACAGTTATGACCTGGGAAGAGTACTTAAATAAATACGGTGATCCCAAGAGAACTGATGTAATTCAGCGCGGAGTGTGTGTAGATACGCACAGACACACACGCACACACGAGAGATACAAATCTCCATGCGTATCTACATGCATAGCCATATGCTACACACGTTAGGTCTACGTGGCCATCCGTGTAAAATGTAGGTGCTGGCTTTGCCTCCATCTGCATGCCTTTCCTCTACGAGAATAAATTTTTGTGATTTTTGTGTGAGGAATGTTTAAATCAGGAGGAGCATTATTCCCCTTCCTCCAGACACATAGAGCAACAGATTATATTTCTGATGTTTTAATTTGTGCAGTCCAAAAATATTGTTTCATATACAGAAACAGGGTTAATTTCGCAATCAGAGATTAATGGAGTAAAATATTATCATTTCAAAGACAAGTTCTTGCGTTGATTTGATTTGCATAATTTTTGTATGGCTTCAGAAAGGAATGGATTTAGCCACTGCAAGGAGCCGGTATGCATTTTATTACAAGTACACCACTAATTTGACTCTGCACAATGTGGAGGACTAATAGCTGGTGGGGTCATTTAAATATAGCTGGAGAAGGCTTTGCAGTACACAAACCAGAAAACTGTTTCAATAACGTTTCTAAACAGCGATCAGTGTCTGTATTTAACTTCTTCTCGGAGTTATCTCTGTTTGATTTGAATGCCTTTCGCAGGGAAGAGGTTTTTCATTTGCTTGGCTCCACCGCCGAAATCTAATTTTCCCACAGTACTACCCGTTACTAATACAAAGCCGTCTAACTTGCGCTGTTAAACGCCAGAATAGTATTACATGCACTTTTTATTGGTAATAACTGTGGCAAATTAACATGCCTACACAGAGGCATTAAGACTTTGCACACTGTGTTTTTTTTAAATAATCTATTCATTAGGTCAGCGTTTACCTTTCCAGATTTTAAACTGCGACCTCGCCTTTTCTTCTTTAATTCAGTTTCTTCCAGCAGAGCTGAGAAGGTAGACGAGAGCTCCCCCACCACCCCCTGCTATCGCTCATTGCTGTCCTGGGAGACAGGTTTTGCGTTTTGTCATTTATTAGCTACATCTCCTTGCGCCAGTGACAGGGGCTGAAGTTTTGGGGCGGGTGAAGTTGAAAGCCCCGTCTGTGGGGATGGGGCTCCTGCTGCCTCTGCCCGGCATTCGGGCGTCGGCCCGGGGGCCATGCACTCCGGACCCCGCTCCCCCCGGCTTTACACAAGTGAAAGAAGAAGAAAAAACACAAAAACACAAGCATCGTTGGGGTGAAGGAGAGGTTTCCCTCCCCGGGAGGGCTCCCTGCGGCCCGGAGAGGCGCACACGCCTGTCACCCGCACAATGCCAATTGCCCAATTGTCGTGACACCGGTCACAGCAACTTTTCAAGCAAAGAGAAGTGGAACTTGGTGGGGTTTGAAGATGTAACACAATGCGCAGCTGAAACAGTTTCCTGTGACATAACCACACAATGGTCTGGGAATGCTTTCTCCTTTCTCTCATGAAATGGGGGACCGCCACCATCTCCCGGAGACAACGACGTTAAATAATAGACTATTGTATTTAAAAATAACAAATGACACACGCGTACTGTGCAAGCGGAGTTGTCCGGTTTTCTAGTAAAAGGAGCCCATTTTACAGGGCTCCTTCCGAGCGAGGCGCTTTGCGGGAGCGATCCGTGCGAACGCGGGGACGCGGGGCGAGCTGGGCGAGCCCTTCTGGAGCTGTTCGCGGGGTCAGAGCCAGGAGCGGTGAAAACGGCGAGGGAAAAAGGAAAAGAAAGAACTTTTCTTTGGCCGCCTTCGGGATGAAATCGTTAGTTCAAGC